GTTTATACGTGATTCAAAGGTTCCAATAACGTATGCTAATTTCAATTGAAGTAAGCCTTAGTGTTTATGTGCTTATTATTTTTTCAGTACTTTTGTAAAGTTAACCACAACTATGAAAAATAATAAAATAAGAATTTAAAAAATTACCTTTTAAACTTAAAAAAACCCCATAAATACCCAACTTTTTCTTTCAGTTTCATTAAAGTATATTTTTCGAAAAACATACCATGTCATTTTTTTTCTAGCAATTTTGTTCTTTTCTTGACTTAAGAGAACGAATTTAATCAACCAGAATATGAAAGAAAAAATCAACGATACATGACAACAGTAATAGTGGATGCTACATTAATTTATATTAATATATAGTAATGTTATCATTAACAAGACAGTAAATGTCAAACTATACCTTAATTTTACAAGAGAAAGGCTTTATTGTCCTATTAACAAGAAAACATGTAGTTGACGAATGCGTTTAAATATTTTTGTAAAGAACAATTATCCTGGAAATAATTGACATCCATATAATGTAGGTTGTGAAACCTTACATTACACGGAATGAAATCAAAACCAACGAAAAAGCAAATAGTTCTGACAAGAAAAGTAGGTTTCATCAATACATATTAATCAGCATATTGAAACCTTTTATAAAATCCTATAATTGTGAAGCAGATAAAGTGCTGTTTTTTTCTAGGAAATATGGGACATTGATTCCACCATCAAAATGAAATATACGTACACCGTGATATAAATTATACATGATTGTTAGATTTGAGAAATATTTTACATCATGTCTGGTTAGATGCTCGGAAGTGTAAAAATAGCTACAAATTTAATTTAAAGACATTCATAGCAAAACTTTAAGCCAATATGTCGTAAAGGGATATGTCATAATATTTTGTAATGAGAAAGTTGTTACCTTAATTTGTTCTTTTAGAAGAAAATAACCCGTAGCCTTAGGCATTTACTTAACGAATAGGTCTTTGATATTTCAGAATTTCGACATTTCAGAATTTCTAAAGTACATTTTGAAATGTTTCGCTTAATTGGCAACATAACAAAGCCTCCTCTTTCAGCATTTAAGTCGTACTGGGGGTAGGATCACTGTGAAATAACAGAATAAATAAAAACAATCTGATTACTCAACTAATCTATTTATTCTAAGAAACAACTAAAGTGGATCTCATTGTACTATTAAAAACAAGCCAAAATCAATCAATACTGACAAATAGGTATATTTTCTTATATAAAATGGTCAAAACAAAAGCAAGAATAACTAAATATTTGTTTCGTATATTATATATGTATTAAATACTTCGGCTCTCCTTGTTTGGTTAAACAACAGTCGCACTATCACCGTAAAAGTAATTCCAGCATTACTGGTGGAGAAGGCCTCAGGTGCCCGTACGTGTGTTACGTCTATTATAGAATTGCAGCCACATTGGTATGACCATGATTTATGTATAAAGCCATATCAGACAAAACCTTTATACACAAGCAATACGAAAATATCTGTCAGCCTCAAGTCAGTGGACTATCATGATATTAGTTTATCAATATTAGTTATCCCGCTACACATAAATAACTATGAATTTGGTAAATGATTTTTTTGTTATCCTGTAAATATAGTTTGCAAAAGAAAATGGTGCTTTTTACGATTTATTTTCATTTTATATATCATCCAAAGAAATGAGAATGCAACACGGAGATCTCCTAGCCATATTCATTGACCTAGAGCTTTGTGCCTTATGTTTCTATAAAAAGAAACTTCTTTCCTCATGCCATTCCCAACCTGTCGCACAACTAACTTGCCTGCAATAAATAATTATTTACTCAATAAGCACTTAAGATATTTCAAACATAATAATGTTCACTTTGAAAAATAAAGCCGAAATTGCTGATTAATCAATGAAACGTGTCTCTTGATTTCAATATGTTAGTAAATTCCATTCTATGTCCTAATGCGATTGTCTCTTGAGATTTAATCCGTTGAACAGTAATAAATGCATATATGTGAATGAATTTAATATAAATACTTAGCCAACATAGAAAAATTCCAAAATGTTTTCAATAATCTGAAATTATTAAATAGATATTTAATGAAACATGTTTCAATGCAATGAAAGAAAAAAAATCTTAAAATTCCTGTTGAAAATAACAGTGTAAGCATATTAATTTTCCACTGTTGATCTATAGTAACTGTTTCATAATCAAATTCACTGACAAATCGTTATATTTGTGCACATGATGAATATCTTCAGACCGGGCGGTCAAGGATGACGAAAGTGCAAGCACTTATTTCCAGTATGGTTCAAATCTCAGCAGACTCCAGACAGCTATGAGATACAAGGTGTAAAGGATTTCGGATAACAACTAGACTTTTCGAGTATGCGCTTCTATATATCTTTTATTTTTACACATCAGCATAAACAAAGCGATTCTCTGAAACAAATGATAAAGTAATTAACTAATACATTCATTTCTGATATAAACTTAACAAATAAATAATAGAATAGAATAATTAAATAATTTTTTCCTATGACGAAGAATCTTAATAAACAGAAGTACAGTTAAAATCCATAAAATAAATAATCGTAACAATTGATTAGAATTAATAAATACTTTATTAGAAAATTCTTTTTATCCGTTAACAAATAAATAAATCAAAATAATTTAAGCAGCTACATGTATCATACCGACTATAATGTCTTTCACATCAAAACCTTTAAAATACAGTTTCAGCTTTAACGTTTAACGCCGCTACACATAACGGAAGTTACCTTTTAAATTCATAACATACAATTACGTCAAAATGACGCGCTAAACTGTTCAGCGCGTAACGTTAAATAAATTGGCGCCAAACAACGTTTAACGTAAGAAATATATTTTAATTAGAATCGGTAATAAACGATTCTTACAGTGCCCTCCATGAAATATCTTAATTTCATCAAATCATTTAATATCAATAAACAATATTTTAACGATACAAAAATGTAAATTGCAACGAACTTCATGTTCATAAGAATGATAAAATTCGCATTAAATCACGCATTATATTAAAGTACTTGCTGATGTTAAAACAATCTATTTAATACAAAGTATGTATCCTTTTAAACATTAACGTAATCATGGAAATATTTTCAGCGTAATACAATAATTAGTCTGAACATTCTAAAAGGCACAACTTTGTGATTGGCCTTATCATAGCTGAGTTCCCAGTTTGAACTTTACATTTACGAATATGCCCATCCCTACCCTTAATGACTTCGGTTACTCTGCCTAGTGGCCACTGTCCTCTCGGAACACTATTGTCTACCACAAGCACAACGTCATCTACATGTACGTCTCTAGTTTCCCTTTGCCATTTCTGCCTGGCTTGTAGGGTTGGTAAATACTCTTTTACCCATCTTTTCCAAAATATGTCCGCTAAATATTGGATTTGTCTCCACCATCTCTTGCTATAGATGTCTTCCTTTTTAAAAATGCCGACTGGTAAACAAGGATTAGACTTCATTAAAAGAAGCATGTTTGGCGTGAGTGCCGGTGGGTCCCTCGGATCACTGCTTACATTAGTTATGGGTCTATCGTTGATTATTCGTTCAGTTTCGGCAATCAGGGTCAATAACTTTTCGTCTGTAAGGAGTTGTTCTCTCACAACAGCTTTGAGAATAGTACGCGTTGACCTTATCAAGCGTTCCCATGACCCGCCCATGTGACTGGCATAGGGTGGGTTAAAGTTGCCAGTCTACATCATGTTGCACAAGAAGTTGTCCGATTTAAGACTGGTTCCATTGTTTTATTGAGCCTTTTAACTCTTTGTCTCCGCTAACAAGATTCGTTCCGTTATCGCTATATAGCTTTCTGGATACCCTCGACGACTTGTAAAGCGTTGATAAGCAGCTATGAAAGAATCAGTTGTTAGACTGTGTGCTATTTCGATATGGACTGCTCTTGTAGTTAGACAGCAAAAAGAGACATCCGTATCTTTTTAAACAAGTTCTACCTGATTTCACTATCAAAGGGCCGAAGTAGTCTACACCGACATAGGTGAATGGGGTTCATCGGGGGTCGTCTGTTCTTTGATCAAGGGCGCCATCTGTTGCCTAAGAGGTAGACTGTGTTGTCCGCTTACATATAAAACAATCTCTGATAACTTTCTTTATAGTACTGGGTCCCTTTAATATCCAGTATTTTCGTCCGTGTTTCAGCAAGTACCTGTTGTTTACCAACATGTCCGTTTGAATTATGGTAATGACGAATAATCAATTCTGTCACGTGACTATCGTGCGGAAGGATAATCGGGCACGTATCATATTCTTTATGGGTATTTCTTCCATATACACGGATTAGTCCATTAACAAGTATGGGGTTTAATGTAGATAATCTACTGTCTCTTTTTACAGGATTTCCTTGTTAATATCGTTCAGTTCCTGTTTAAAGCTTGAGTTCTGTATATGTCGTACTATAGCGTAAGTTGCGTTCTTTATTCTCGGAAACGGTAAGATTTCCTCGTTTTGGTTGTTCATTCAAAGTCAAAGTGATGTCGTCTGCAATATGTTATGAATCTCAGTAACCAAGCAACTGCTCTAAGCAAACATTGTCCAATCGGAATAATAGTTAATGAGGTCTTCTATATGAGGTCCTGTGTACGATGCGGTGGTATTAACACTAATCCTCTCTCTTAACTTCGGAATCATCACCTGCAATTTGTAGCTCATGTGGGAGTTTAGGCCAAGTCGATTCGTCTTGTAATAAGTATTTTGGTCCCTCTAGCCATATTTTAAGACCATGAATGTTCATTTGGATGGATGCCCCTCGAAGCAATATCAGCTGGGTTCGAACCGGAATCGACATAACGCCACTTCTCAGGGGATGTAGTCTGGTGAATGTAGCTGATTTCTCTTTCCGACGAATGTCTTAATCGTCTGTTATTGTTGTTTATATATCCAAGTAATATCATAGAATCCGTCCAGAATGTAACTTGGGTCGACCTTTAAGTCAAGTTATTCTGACAACATAGCATAAAGGCGGCATGCTACTACAGCTCCGCACAGCTCTAATCTTGGAATGGTTGTTTGCTTTATTGGTGCTAATCTAGATTTACCAATAACAAAACTGCATGAAATTATATTCTGTATATCCGTCAATCGTAAGTATGCGCATGCGCTATAACATGTTTCTGAGCCATCGCTGAACACGTGCAGCTGTACGTTCTTCAATTTACTGAAGTAATTTGGACGGAAACAACGGTTAATACTAATTTTTTCTAACGATGGTAGATTTGCTATCCACTGTTGCCAATCTTCTATTTCTTTCTGCGGAATGGTTTCATCCCACCCTATCTTCTTCCTACATAGGCTCTGAACAATTGCCTTAGCACGCAACGTCACAGGTGATACAAGTCCTAGTGGATCAAAGATCGCACTTACTATGAAAAGAAATCCGCGTCTTGTTAAGGGTGTTTCGCTTATTTTAATCTTAAATGTTATTTTATCATCATTAACATTCCAATTGACGCCTAGCGCACGATCACAAGGCAGTACGTCTCCAGAGCTGAGGCTAACGATCGTCGGCGCACGTTCAGATTCCGGAATCGTATTAAGTACCCTCCGACTGTTGCTTATCCACTTTGTGAGTCTGAAGCCACCTAAGCTCATCAGGGACTGTAAATCTGCTGCAAGTTTAATAGCTTTATCTTTATCTTCAGATTCTACAGACTTCAGGCAGTCGTCTACGTAAAACTTTCTCTTTACAGTTGATAATACTGCAGGTTCAAATCTCTCTGCATTGTTAATGACAGTTCTTCTCAGCGCATACGCAGCGCAGCTCGGAGAAGAAGTTGCTCCAAATAAGTGGACTTTCATACAATAAGTCATGGGTGTTATAGATAAATCTCCACCAGGCCACCATAGAAAACGTAGGGCATCACAGTCCTTCTCACATACACGTACCTGGTGAAACATTGCCTCTATGTCAGCGGAAAGAGCTACCTTTTCTGGTCGAAATCTGGTTAATACGCCTACAAGGCTGTTCATCATATCAGGACCTTGTAAAAGTTGACTATTTAGTGAAATACTTTTATATTTTGCCGCACAATCAAATACAACACGCACTTTTCCGGGCTTATTCACGTTTGCTACAGGATGGTTGGGTAAATACCATATCTGTTCTGAGTTCATATCCTTATTTGTCACTTCTTTTGCGAATCCTTTATTAATATAGTCTGTCATTGTTTTGGTATACATCTCATGTAACACGTTGTCACGAGAAAGTATTCTTTTCAGGTAAGTCAATCGCGCATGCGCAAGCGCTAAATTATTCGGCAATTTTGTGTCATCCTGTCGCCATGGTAATCCCATTTCATAGTGTCCATTAGCACGAGAAAATGTAGATTCAATAATTCCCAGTGCTCTCTTATCTTCAACTGACATGGAATTTTTCTCATTATAGGATGCGTCATTGAAGTCTGACGTCCACATACGTTCAAGTTGTTGTTGTAGTATGGCGTCACTTGACTGACCGAAATGAATGTTAATTGGAGTTCTTTTGTTGTCTGTTTTATTATGTTTTGAATTATTGTATGGTATTGGTCCACGAACTGCCCAACCAAGTTGCGTTCTCACTGCATATGGCTCATTACTACTTCCGGTTCGTATCTCTAGGGGAATATGTGCTACCGGTGTATCTGTGCCAATTAGTAACATGACTTCATTAACGTTCACGTTAGGAATATTCAAGTCACTTAAATATGGTATATTTCTAATATCATCGGCAGTAGCTGCAGATCGCGTAGAAATAGGCAATTGTTTTACTGTCCAAACATTGTGAAGCTTCACTTCACTTTCACCGGAAATAGGACTCACAGTTAGGTCAACTTCTTTTCCGTGTATTGCATTCCTTGTTGAATTAACAGTTGAAATCTGGAAAGTAACTGGCCTACTTGATATATTCAGCTTCCTTATAAGCTTTTCGTCACACAGGGTTTTGTCTGCGCCATCGTCAAGCAGGGCATATGTTTGACAGAAGTAACCGTCCCTACCCTTAACAGTTACAGGTATAATCCCTAAACATGTTTTAGAAAATGAGCCATTTGTGGCCGTACAATTTATTGAAGGTTGCGTTACAGTCTTATCAGAACCTACCGGGAACCAGCTATGTAATAATGTATGATGTTTGCTGCTACAATCAGGTATAGCACATGAGTTCTCTTTCCTACATTCTTTAGACATGTGACTACGTTTAAGACAATTGAAACACAATCTGTTCTTAACAACATATTTCTTTCTATCTGTTAAAGTCATTTTCTTAAATCTATGACATGATGCTAAGTCTAAGCATGAACCAGAGCAGCAATAACATTTTCTTTCGTTCTTGTGTTTATCACTTTCAGTATATGACGACAAGGTAGTTATTTTGCCTTTAACATAATTACTAGGCTGACTATGGGGCTGTTTTCTTACATGGGATGGTGCATTTTCTTTAAAAATATCAATACCATATACCGAACAGGCAACACGTGATCTTTCTTTAACAAATTTCAACAAATCAAAGAATCTCGGCTCTTTGCCGCACTCATAGATTGTATGTGCAATATCTGCCCACTTGGTTCGCATATGCATAGGCAAACGTCTAACAATTCGTCTTAAGTTTTCTGAATTATTTACATCAGAAACAAAACCTAATTGGGATAAGGTCATATGACATCTTTGCATATCTAATGCTAACTTAGATAGTTCGTCAATATCAGAGGCTTTAATTTGAGGGCCATACAACAGTTTATCAATGTAATTTCTGGCAATTACATGTGGCCTACCATAACGTGACTGTAAAATAGCTTTAGCTTGTCTGTACCCTTCATTTGAATCTAACAATACGCAATCTTCAATACATGATTTCGCCTCACCATTACAATATTGAATAAGGTAGCTTAATCTAAGTCTATCATCACTTACTTTTGCCTCTACGTTTGTCTCAAATTCTTGATAAACTTGCAATAATCTATCGCAGAACCATTAAATGTTAATAATTCGGGCTTTGGTAAGTTAAACCCTTCTTGTAATATTGTTGCTAGTTTCTCAAATGCTGAATTACTGCTATCACTCGAACCGGAAGTTAAGGTATTGTCTGTCTTACCATTAAATCTTGACTGTTCTGTAACCTTAGATACGGGCTCACCATCAAATCTGTTCTGTAAAAACACATGAGATCCTGCACTAGCTGAAGTATCACGTGGTACATTTGTGTGACCGGAAGTAGAAGCATCTATGACACGTTCATTTTCCTGATGCGTCTGTTCCGTAATTCGTGCACTTACTGGAATTTCTTCGTTACTCTCAGTAAAAACTGACTCCTCAATTCTAGCAATTTCTATCTCGCTCTCCTGTTCTAATAGTTCTCGTTCATTCTCTATTTCCTTTTGCTGCCGTTCAAGTCTCTGTTTTTCTCTCAACATTTTCAAACGATGTTCTGCAACTAGTCGCTTTGCTTTTGCGTTTTGCATAGCTGCACGTGATGACTGTACCGAACTAGCTCTCGTGCGCACAGACGCGTTATCATCGTCTGCTGTCGAATCTAAACATTTAATCCACTCCGTATAGCGTTCGTTACATTCAACAAAATTGTTTTGTTGGCTTACATAACTATTTTCTAAAGTCTCAAACGTTTCCGTATCTTTGCACAAATCCATACATTGTAAATGTACTGTTTTGAAAAGTTCGTATCTATTACATAGACGATCATATAATTCTTTCACTTTTTCTGTATTTTCATAAGACACCATCTGTTTTTCGATTTCATTGTAAATCTTTGTCAGTTGTGAAAGATGTGCTGTTCGCGTTTTCCTTGCACTCATAAAATCTGTTTGCTCCATAGGTTATAACACTTTTAGAGTTATTGATTTATCATCACACGAATTCACTTGTATTAATAGTAAGTATCTTTATCTAATTTCTTCAAATTTAGTAATTAGAAACCTCTATCACATACCGCTTATTCTTCTGTCAATATAGGTAATTTCTTTTCCATGAATCTGTAATTTCTCATCCACAAATATCAAACTTCTAGTCCATCACGATGACTAGTCGAGAATTGTAAAGGATTTCGGATAACAACTAGACTTTTCGAGTATGCGCTTCTATATATTTTTTATTTTTACACATCAGCATAAACAAAGCGATTCTCTGAAACAAATGATAAAGTAATTAACTAATACATTCATTTCTGATATAAACTTAACAAATAAATAATATAATAGAATAATTAAATAATTATTTCCTATGACGAAGAATCTTAATAAACAGAAGTACAGTTAAAATCCATAAAATAAATAATCGTAACAATTGATTAGAATTAATAAATACTTCATTAGAAAATTCTTTTTATCCGTTAACAAATAAATAAATCAAAATAATTTAAGCAGCTACATGTATCATACCGACTATAATGTCTTTCACATCGAAACCTTTAAAATACAGTTTCAGCTTTAACGTTTAACGCCGCTACACATAACGGAAGTTACCTTTTAAATTCATAACAAACAATTAAGTCAAAATGACGCGCTAAACTGTTCAGCGCGTAACGTTAAATAAATTGGCGCCAAACAACGTTTAACGTAAGAAATATATTTTATTTAGAATCGGTAATAAACGATTCTTACACAAGGGAATCCGGGAACCAGTCCCTAGCTCTTATTGAATAGACCCTTGGTTCTTTTACATGCCAAGTGTATAGCACTGATATATGCAAGGATTACCTGGTTTTCTAACCAGTATACACCGAACGTGTCTCTAAATTACTAACACTGCAATGAAAATGCAAATAAAATGCAGCATCTTATAAATCTACAATTTTAATAATTTAGTAAAGGTCGCTTTAATATAAGACTGAGACATACATTCTTAGCTACTTATTCGTTCTTAAAAATACATCATTAAATGAGAGAGGAAGCCTAATGCACACATTCAAATGTCATAGCAGTCGATTTGACATTTAATTCGGAAAAAAAAGATTGTAACCTCCAGACAAGGAAAACTTCAAGAGTTTTTTAAACCCTATTAAGCTGAACATAATTATTGACATATTGCCCCATTCGAATTAACGTTATTACTACAAATTAAAACGCCTAAAAGATGTTAATGATACACCGAACTCGTTTTACAACGAAAACATAATACAAGGAAATAAATATTTATGCAGCCTTCAAGTTTATGAAATGGAGGGAGTGAATGTGTATTTAGAATTGATACAGAAATGAACAAGAAGTAAGTGGAGTTAAAATTCCGATGAAAGTCGCAAGCTATCAATTAAAATTGTTTCAATGCCATAGTGTTGACAATGAAATAAAAAGTACACACTCGCAGACCCTGACCTTACATTAAAATATCCACTAAGAAACTGAACATATTAACATCCAGTAATTATTACAGTATTCATGCAGTATGTGGTGCTTGTTAGTTTGATTTGATATCCTCACAATTAAAAATCTACAGAAAGTGCAGTGTCCTATTTCGTCCACAAAATGTCGCTGGTAAGCACGCTATGAATATCGCCTTCTCTATTGACCAGGGACACTTTATATATAAGTGAAATTTAACAATTTTGCCGCGATAATTATCGTTTTAATTTTCGTGTGTTGTATGTTCCTCGCACGATTTTTATCGTGTTGAAGGGCACTAATTATCGTATGAGAGACCAGCGAAATTTAGTACATGTGAAATTTACCCTAAATTTCGCCCTTTAGGGGCAAAAGTTAACGCGTGTTTAAATTTCGCTAGTCTCTCATGCGATAATTAGCACGTTCTAATTGTTAATTGTTTACTTTGAGAGACTGCTATTAACTGTTTGGTGTTTGTTAAACAGGTTAAAGTAACACAACTAGTGACTTGCAAAATAGTCATTATCGCTTAAAAGTCAGTGGTTCAATACCCACGAACGAAATGTCTAAACTCTTAACATGTCCGTATGGTTAGATGATAATAAACCTTAATATACTACTGTGAAATGGTTGGTTGTAGAATATAAGCGTTGCTGGCAGAGCTTTGAGGATTTCGTACGTCTTAGAACACGCGTCATTTTTTCAACCGATGCAAGGGTCAATAATGTCTAAGATTTTGTCTCTTTTGACAAGCGAGTTACGAAGAAAACAAGTGAAGCTGAATTTTCAAAGATAAGTGTGAATTTAATTTTGAAAGATCTTGCAATGCGAAAGCCCCAGCTTACTGGGTATCAATATTTGAGTTTTTTGGAGGGCTGATCAAAAACATTTATTTGTTCAACAAATGACAAACATACTGTATAGCGCATTATATCTGCGGTGTCAAATGTTGGCGTTTTTTAAAGTGTTTTGAATTGGCGGGGTCATAAATTGGCGCAAACGCTTTTAGACCGCCAAATTAAAACACTTGTTGGCATAAATATGGGGTCATGAATTGGCGATTACAAATAAAGAACAAAAAAAATAAATAAAAATAACACCGGTCACGCAGTAGTTGACTGTCCTCGTTTATTTTACGGCATACGGTATACCTATGCTTGGTCACCTTTATCTTTACATCGTGCTAATTCTTATAATTAACTGGGATCAGACAGGTGTAAATATGGTACCGTGTGGTAACTGGACCATGGAAGAGAAAGGTATGCCCTATTATCCTGCAGTCTTTAAAGCGTGAAAAATTGTTCACGGTCACCACAACTGATTGCTATATAATTACAGTTATCATTAGTTTTATTTCTAATTATGAAACATAACAGTGAAAACAAAACAAATACTAGTTTACTTAAATTCGATAATAAATGACATTTAGATTTGTTTCTCGTCGTGTGATCATCTTCGTAATAAATACAGTATATAGATATATAATTAAATGAGTTTCGTACCAAGACTTAAAAATAAACAAATTCTTTTCAGCTTACTTGTAATGTTTATTTTTATTACAAATAATCAAGGGAGATTACTCGGACAAACCAAAGCTATTTTACCATGAGTTGTCTACCTTTCAAAGAATAATGGCGATGATCTAAAATGGCGGTGCTTTAAATTGGCGGTGTTTTGAATTGGCGCTACTGACCCTGACCGCCAATATAGCCAAATATAAACCCCCGCCAAAATAAGTACTTATACAGTAACGCATCACTTCCTATGCATCTTAAAGAAAACATTAAACACAAACGTCACTTAAAATTAATTAAGACGCATTTTTCTACCAGGACAAAGCCATTGTCCACGAGTATTCATTTATCATGATTGTTAAGGGATATGTCTTTGAAGCGGGTGAACATCCGCTTTATTTACCTGATCTCGGTGTGGTGTGATCAGTAATGTGTCAGTGTCGCCGTTAAACCAAAGGAAAACAAACTAAACCTAATCTATCTATACATGTCTTCAACATTGAAAGTCATTTTTTTTTTACGCTCTTTGGCCGATTCGGTTAAATATGATACATATAATGCAGGACTTTCTATTCTAAACGGTACTTAAAAGGATCTTAAAAGTAGTATTGAAACCCGTAAACATCGCTGGCAAATCTGTTAAAAATGAAGGACATTATGTTGACAAATAATGCAAAAACCTGTCCAAATATAAACTGAGGCTTACAATTTTACAATCTCTCAGTCCTCTCATCTATCATAATGCATGTATATGCGCAGAGATAACATATAATCTTCACTGATATTACGTAATAAAGATAACATGTACAATGTAACTGATATATAAGATTAATATTACGGTTTATAGTACGTTAACAAGGTATGAATTTTTATATAATAATATTAGTAATAATTGATATTACAGTAGTTTTAAAATGTGTATCAAGTTATTGTGTAATATCTGAATTAAGTTATACATTATGCACATTTCAGTATTATATCTGATGCCATGCTTTTGTTGATGATGAAAAAAAATACAACATGAAACACTCTGAACACTATCTTATAACGTAATTCTATACGTATATGATGATTTTAGTTATTATAAAAGCAACATTATTAATAGGATAAAACATTATAACATATATGTACAAAAATATATGAAAAATGAACAACAACAACAACAACAACAGCAACACCACCACCACCATCACCACCACCACCACCAACAACACCACCACCACCACCAACAACAACAATAATGATGATGATTCTGATGATGATATGATGCTGCTGCTGCCGATGATGATGATGATGATGATGAAACAAAACGAATACATGTATATATTCTTATTTTTGTAACTGTTTTGATTACGATAAAGAGAACATGACATTTTTTCAGATAATTGATTTTGCGGGGTAAAAAAACAACTTCCTACAGTCTTTTTTTTTATTCCGATCAGATGTTTCATTTCAGATCAAACATGTCAATGGCAAGAAATTTTAGTATAGGTTCTATATTGTGTATCTTAATCTCAAGTATCATAAGCACATCAATACCGTATTGGGTTATTGGCAATGATGATTTTCGTTTTCACGAGGGACTGTGGGGAAATGTGTATCGATGACCCAGATATGAGAGAATGCGTCTCGTTTTCTGATATGGACCGTATTATCCATGACCATGGTAAGGTTTTCTAAAAAAGTCAAATTAGTTCTGTAATTTACTTATTAGGCTTCCTCTTGAGATTTTTGATATGTTGGTGATGCGATCAATGCACCGTGTGACATTTCTAACAAGTTAAACTGTATTGAAAAAAAAAAATGCAAACGAATTGACACATGTGTGGGATTATTCAGACTTAACGTTTTCATTTTTTATTGATAGCAGTATCTTTAACTTCATTCATATTATCAGAAAAAAAAATCTGTTATTTTTCATTTTGCAAAAAAGGAAAAGAGTTGTTTCGTTGTTGTTTTGGTTTCAGTTCCTAAGTTTGTACTTGCGACGAGAGGTTTAATGATATCAAGCATCATCTTACATGCCATGTGTCTATTACTGGCTATCCGGTTTGGATGTGTTCAACATATAAGTATACGCTCAGCCATAGTTTGTATCGTTCTACTTATTGTAGGATGTAAGTGATATTTACTGATTAACTTTCTTAGTGTATTAAATTGTATTTATAATATTCATTAATAGTTTTTATCATCACTCTTTTATGACCGACATTGTTCAAATTCTTGTAATAAATACAAGCTTCAAAAGTAACGGTCTGTCCCCGGATGATCGCTTTGTATCCAATTGGTCCACTTGTTTTGTTTTCTAAATTACTGCTGTTTCATTTTCAGGTATTCTTCTCCTAACGGCGATGATTGTATACGGGGTTAATAGTTCCTATTCAATGGTTACTCGCGGTGCCGCGTTCTATCTTCCACTAGTGTCAACATCAATAGCCATTTTTAGTGCGTATTCGATTGTTAGAGCAAGACGAGCACTAGAGGAAAACCGTAATGGATATACAGCTGTGCAATAATTCTTAACAAATTTGTAATTTGATCAGAGCTTATTGAGTACAACATTATTGACATAATTGTAATATAAAATGATGACCCCCTTTTGGTATTTTTACCGCCTCCTCACACAATGAACATTTTAAGGGGTATACTAGTTTGAGGCTGCCCGTCAATCTGGCCACAAACCGCAACATTTCCGCCATGTTCATCTGTCGTCGGATAAGGACCTAGAATGCAATAGTAAGAAAAACTAAAAATGGCCATTTTTTTATTTTAAATGAATTGGAAGTAGAGAAAATATATCTAGGTATGACTAAAATAGCTTTATAGATTTATAGATTTAAGACTGAGATAAGATTGACAATTTAGATCTACAGTATATTTTACAATGCGTCCCTTTGTTACAAATGAATATATTAAATTGAATTCATTTTAGATTTAAATACGAAACATAATAAATCTAAAGTAGTTACAATTATGTTGGAGCTATCGCTGTTTCATGGATAATACATGGTACCTAAACATGCACGACCATCTGTAGCATAGTGTTCTTTGAATGGTTTGACTTTGTTTTAAATACATAACGACATATGAGATAAAGAAGGACCGGACCATTTTAATCACCTTTGTAAGTGCCAATTTTTGTTTTTGGGTCTGTGATAACGCCCGTGTTATCCCTAAATGTTGTTGGCATCTGTTCTATACCTGACCTACAATTTCATAAGAATGAATAGACGAATGAGAGAGTGACTAACTTGGAGAGTTATTGCTTATTGATTCGATGCGTGAGTGAGTTTCTGCACGAATGTATAAGTTTATGATGCGTGAATACACGATGTGTTCTGTTATGATTAATTTAAGTCAATCTTAAATAAAGAGGCACCTGTCACATACTTCGTTGATGAAATTGAACGGGACAGGATGAGCACCTTCACAGCCTTCCGAATAAAAACTGCATTAACCTGTCCCAACAAAGTCTTGTTTAATTTTAAGAGTAAAAAATATCCAATGCACTAACCATTTAATTGCAGGCCATCAATCATAATTATTGAACATTATACGAAAAATTATTTGGAATTGTCTTTATTATACACAAACTCTAAAAAAATATGCATTTTATGTTATAACCTTCCCGGCTACAGTAAATGATCTCATAATTTCCGTCTATTGACTGCGTCACATCTAAACGGAACAAGAAGAGGCTAGACCGATCTTCCAAATATATGTTCCTCTAATATAATGCAATGAATAATCCACAACGGAATCAAACAAATACCTTTTGAACGGTTGGCACCAGGAAATGTTGTTTTTTACGGAATATTTTTTTACATTATATAGAGAAAGATCGCAGTTCCAAAAACGACCATGCCATTTGGCCCTCTCGATGTCATAATCCTCGGGCTAGATCATTATGTTTTTAATTGCTGTAAAAGAGAACCTCAAAACTAATGAAAGAGTCATCCCCTACGAAATACAACAATGTTGTCACTTCAAATCTACTGTAATGTGTGCTAGATAAAACTAAAGACTAAAACTACATAATGTCATATCATGGAAAATTCAATATGTCATATGATATGAACCTATAAATAGTGTTCATATTTTATCTAGTGTGTGTGTGTGTGTGTGCGTGCGCGTGTGTGCGTGTTGGTGCGTGTGCGAGCGCGCGTGTGTGTATGTGTGTGCGTGTGCGATATTTACCTCAACAACTGAGTTATAAATAAATGAACAATTTAAGTGTTTGAGTGAAGCTGAACTGGCTTATCATTTAAAACCAATAACTGTCATAATTGCAATTGGTTGTCGACCAATATGTTATAATGAAAACTATTACGGATAAATTAAAACAATTGATCAATATTTAAAAAAAAAGACTGCCTTATTCTTTTTTATCATTTGAACATTATGCATACATTGCAATGGATATTTAAAGAATTTTCTGTGAGTCACAATGTTGATTGATTTTACTTTAAAGTTGATTGCAATTATGGTACAACCATCATTTACACTTTGATGGGCATAATGCCACTTTAATAAGCTGTTCAGTCGGAAAAATATTTTATTCAATGATAAAATAACACAATCTGTAGAATAACATTTTGTATCTTTTTTCGTGCATATACGTTCATTTTATGAAGACCAATTTCGTCTTGAAAGTATTTAGTTATTGCATGTCATGGCAGCTTAGTTTCCGTTGTATGCAACGTAAGGGATCTAAATTGGCGAATATTTGGAAGTATATTGACATAAAACCTTCGTTTAATAACAAAATAAAATGAAATGGTTTTTATACCATTTATATTTAAGTCCACTTTTGGCACCAATTTACAAGGTTTGTATTGGATTAAATCGAATTGACTTTTAAATGATAAGCAGACTTAAAATTTCATACAAAAATTTGCAAAGAAGTTATTATGAAGGGACAATAAGCCCAAATTAACCCAATTTTTTAAAAGATTGTTTAAAAACTGGTTTGTTTATTTTTTTTAAGCCGTCCTTTCCATTCGTGGTAATTCCCTCTGTTCATGTGTCATTAATCAAATCTCTCCGTAACTAATTTCTCCTCTCCTGCATGGATTGCCAAATCAGCGCAAAAAACACAACTATTACCTTTAGACTCAATATTCGTTACCCAAACCAGGTATGGATTCGGCCCTGAAGGATATCGAAGCAAGTGAACCCCGCGCCTGGATTTCTAAGATTGAGAACGCTGCTTCTCTTTTTGAGCCAAGCGTTTGTACAGACTATTAACAAGTCAGTAAGTATAGCAATTTAAGATAATTTAATTACAATAAAAAATGCGCGTCCAAATCTAATAGTTACGTGCTAATCAAAGTGTTGAATCGAATTAAAAACCCTATTCAACAATGAATTCTTACCAAAAAGAGATATTTCTGTGACTTCTTTTGTATATCTATTTTTATCATAAAATATCTTGTAGATGTTTTATTCAACCTTTTCTTATGAGTACATTATTGTACGAATGTATGTTGACGATAAAATATTTCAATAATTAGGAAGAAAAAAATGTCATTAAAATGTTAAGATTAAATTGACCATAATAAAGTAGCTACTATTTGTGTGTTTTCAGTATTTGCCATTGTTTTCTTTTTTTTACTTTTAGACCATAGAAATATAATTTAAAAACAATAACCTATTATATATAAAATTCTTTTTAAATTAAAAATATTAAGAAATATTGATAGAAATTAAATGCAAATTTTTTCAAAAAAAGCCAGTTAAAAAATAGATTTAATGCCTAAATTGAATTAAACACAGAAAATTTTTCCAAGTTTTCTTTCTGTTAATACGGGATTTATTCATCTCTCGTAAGAATATTGTGAACTATTTATTTTATTACCATGAAGATAGGTTTTTCTGTATTTAAAGAAAAACCTGAATATCATCTTTATATTGATTCATAAAGTTATGTGGCTATGGAAATAACAACATAACGAATTGTAATGTCAAAAAGATTGTTTGTAAACAATAATATAACATAATGCCTGGCATTAAAGATGAGCTCAACTTTTTGGTTTGCGGGTTTTTTAATTTTTTTAAACTTTAAATGCTAATTTTATCTATTACCTTTCCCAAACCCCCCAGTTTTATTTTGTAACAATTTAAATTTTTTTAAAAAAAACTTTTAAACATTTAAGATATAACGGGAAATTTTAACATATTTTTTTTAATTTGTACTTTGTATTTTTTTCGGGAAAATTTTTAAACAAAAAATATATTATTTTAAATTTCTTTTTAATACTAAAAAAAAAGGGGAGGGGCCTGGGGATTTGGGCGTTTTTGCTTTTCTCAACCAATTAAAAATTGGGTTTTTGGACCCCCTTGCTTATAAAAGAGCTGTTTCCCTTTGCAAAAAAGGCACATTTAGGACTAAATTCCAGGAAAGGGAAAAATTGGGAGAGCAGTTTCAAATAGGCCTTAAACACTTTCCCCTTTATATTCG